CTTGGCCGGGACCCCACTGCTCCTGGCCAGGAGCACAGCAGCTCCTGCACCCCATTGCTCCCGTCAGGCCCCTTCCCCAAGGACCCCCTCGCTTTCCCCTTTCCTCCCAGTGCAGCCCAGTGCCCCCAGTGTGTCTCTAACGCTGTCCTTGTCCCCAGCCCCCTCTGGCTGAAAAGCTGGCGGACCTTTTGCGGCAGAAGCGCCTGGCTGCCTCTCTGGATGTCTAGGTGAGCAATACTTGGGGTTCTCCTGCCACCCAAAGGGTCCTGGGGGTTTCTGGTGGGATCCCACAACCTGCTGGGCTGGGTAGAGCTTGGGGATGGCAGTGGAATAGAGGGGGCTGTCCCTGATCTGTGTCCCAGTCCTGGGTCTATCCAGGGCCCCATTTCCTTTCTCCTGTCAGAGGGAGTGGTGGGGACAAGGCCCCTCTCATGTCCCAGTGGGCACAGGGGATCAAGTATTCAGTCTTTGTTTTAGGTTTCAAACTATTGGTGGCACACATCCTGTTCCTCTCCAGCAGCATGAGGAGATTGTCATCCCTGGAAGACACCCCTGATCCCCTGGGAACCCAGGGCCATTTCCCTTGAATAATCAATAAACCCCTTCAGCAACGCTGTGCTCTGAGTGTCTGTGTGTGTGTGTGTTCCAAAGGAAATTCCCCCAAACCTCCAACAAGATTCCCCCAAAGGTGTTGTCCTGTTCCTGTTTCCATCTGCTCATCCTGTCACTCTGTCACTGTCACCTCACACAGCTCTGACCCCTCTGGTACTGCCCAGGTTTGCACTGAACCCCTCCCTGCTGGTCCCCAGCACCAGGAAGGACCGTGGCAGCTCAGAGCAGGGACTCCCAGGCTGGTGCTGGATAACGGGCACCCAGCAGAGGCAGAAGGAATCCCCCAGTGCAGGGGTTTGTGGGGTGCAGAGGGGGCAGCTGAGTCCCCTCACAGCCCCAGGGCTACAAAGAGGGAAGAAGATGCCTCAACTGCCTCAGCTGAATTGCTTCCCTCAGCCTGTGGCCTGGGAAGTGTCCGGCTGCAGCACAACCTCTGCAGGGGACTTTCCATCAGAAGACAAAAGACAGGAATTTTTTCTTCCCTCTCCCTCATTCCCCTTCCCCCCCCTCCCCGCCTTATTGATATTCTTGCCCTCTCTTAGTAAAACCAACCAAAATGCATCTCCAATGAGGTGATTGTGAGGATCAGTTCCCAAACAAGGCCACAGGATGCATTCCTGCCAAAACAAAAGGGAGAAAACTGGGATTTGGTAGAAAAGTTTTAAAAAATGACTGCTTTTAAACTCTGCAATTCCAGAGAATACAACAACAAAGTCTGCAGTTTTAGTGGTCCATTACCCACCTTCTTTCCACTGTTGAATTGACACAGTCCAACTCCAGAGGAGCAGATTCTGGAAAGCAGATCTGCAGGAAGAGTTGGAGGCTCATTTTCAGAGAGACAGAGGGAAACAGGGAAAAGAATTTCTATTGTTTTCTTGATCGTAACAATCACAAATAGCTCTTCATTTGGTTTGCAATATCCTGATGATAAGGCGTTTTCCTCATTTTTCACACCAAATTTCATTAATCTGAAAATTGTTCTTGGATTAAAAAAAGACACAGGCAAATAATTGACCCACTTTGATTCCTAAACCAGAAATCATTATACCTCTACCAAGATGTGTTTCCCTACAGTAGAAAAGGCAGTTTTTGTCCCGAGTTTGTCCAGAGTTAATGACTTCAGAGGAACTGGAAAGGTCCCAGCACCATCAAATGTGGCCGCAGTGACCTGGATCCAACCCCCGAGTCACCATCAAACGCGCTGGATCTGCACCTTCACAGCCCAGCAGCAATTCCTTCCACTGCCCTCCCACTCTGGGGCAGCCTGATGGGCATCGCTCTGGCGTGCAGGGCCAACTGCTGCCAGACATAGCACTCGGACCTGCTCTGTGTCCTGCAGCTTTGGTGCTCCATGGCTGCGCTGCCTGTGCCACCAATGTGCCACCAAAGTGCTGCCAGTGTGCCACTGCTGTTCCGTGGCAGTGCTTCCTGTTCCATCCCTGTCCCACCTCTCCCACTCCTGCTCCCCTCAAAGCTCAAAAGCTGCTGCAGTGCAGCTCGGGTGCTGTTCCAGCACCATTCCACTGCTCTTCCACCACTGTTCCACCACGGTTCCACTGCTGCTCCAACCCTGCTCCTCCACCACTGTTTCAACACTGTTCCACCACAGTTCCACTGCTGCTCCAACCCTGCTCCTCCACCACGGTTCCAGTGCTGCTCCAACCCTGCTCCTCCATCACTGTTTCAACACTGTTCCACCACTGCTCCAACCCTGCTCCTCCATCACTGTTCCACCACTGTTCCACCACCACTCCAACCCTGCTCCTCCACCAATGTTCCACCACGGTTCCACTGCCACTCCAACTCTGCTCCTCCACCACCGTTCCAACACTGTTCCACCACTGTTCCACCACTACTCCAACCCTGCTATTCCACCACTGTTCCACTGCTGCTCCACCCCTGCTCCTCCACCAGTGTTCCACCACTACTCCAACCCTGCTCCTCCACCAGTGTTCCAGCACTGTTCCACTTTTCGGCTGCTCCTCTCAGCTCCTCCCCTGTTCCCCTGTTGCTGAAATGGCTGCCTCTCCTGTTCCCAGCGCTCAACACTCACACCAAATCTCCCCTGGCACTGCCCTCGCTCCAGGGCTGCTCATCATCTCTGACACTGCAGGGTCTCCTGGAACTGTGGGGAAGTTGTGACACTGTGGGGACACATGGAACCAAGGGGCCTCTGTGACTTTCAGGGTTCCTATGGAATGCACACGCCCCTGTGGCACCACAGGGCCTCACGGAACCAAAGGGACCCTGTGACACTGTGAGACCTCATGGAAGCGAGGATCCAGAGTGATACTTCAGGGCCTTGTGATTCCCAGGGATCATTGTGACACTGTGGGGCCGTGGGGAACCAAAGGGAACATTGTGACACTGGGAGATGTTGTGGCACATTGTGATGCTGTGGGATTTTAGTGAATCATGGGGACACTGTGACAGTCTTGGGTCTGGTGGAAATCATGGGCCCCTATGTCACCATGGGACCTTATGGAATTGAGTATCCATCGTGATCCCAGTGCCTTGTGGTGTCCAGGGATCCTTGTGACATTGTAGGGCCTCACGGAACCAAGGGGATCCATTGTGGCACTGTGAGGCCTTGCAGAACCAAAAAGACCTGGTGACACCGTGGGACCTCATGGCACAAAGAGGACACTGTGGGACCTCACAGAACATAAGGGACCCTGTGAAACTGTAGGACCTTGTGGAATCGAAGGAAATGTGTGACACTCTGGGGTCTCATGGAATCCAGAGGCCCCTGTGGCCTTTTGGAACAAAGGGACCATTGTGATACCTCAGGTTTCTTGTGCTGTCCAGGGTTCAAAGTGATATTGTGGAGCTTCACAGAACCAACGATCCATTTGGACATTGCAGGGCCTGATGGAACCGAAGGGACTCTGTGACACTCATGGCACAGAGGGAACCCAGTGACACACTTGGGGCCTCACAGAACCAAGAACTCACAGAACTCTGGCAGACTGTGGGGCCTTCTGGTTCTCAGTCTCTTCTGACGCTTGTGTCCATCTCCAAAGAGGTCGGAAAGGGCAGCCTGAGCCTGTTGATCCCCAATATTCCCATCTCCATCGGAGGATGTTCCTGCTCACAGTGGCGCTGTGTGTTCCCTCCGCTCCCTATGGGAACTGCATCTTACGAGAGACACTGACCACTCTGGGAGCCGACAGCACAGGGCCTCCTGCAGGATGGGAGCAGAGACATCTTTTGCTCCATCAGGTTGCTCAGAGCCCTTTCTGGCTGGGCCTGGAATGTTTCCAGGGATGGAGCATCCAGCAGGTCTCTGGGAAACCTGTGCCAGTATTTCAGTAGCTTCAGCATCAAAAAATTTCTTCACTATGTCTGCTCTGAACAAACCCTCTTTTAGTTTAAAACTATCTCCCCTTGTCCTATTGCCACAGGCCAGACTAAAATATTTCTCCCCACGTTTCCTAGGAGGTGCCTTGAAATCCTGAAAGGTCCCAATGGGGTCTTCCCGTGGCCTTTTATGCTCCAGCCCCAACTTTCTCTGCCTGTCTCTGTCACAGAGGTGCTCCAGCC